GGCTGTGCTGGGAGCGAGGATGGACGCGGAGGAGCTCCATAGATGAGGATAGGCGGGCAGGGCGCTACACGCCGCGCGGGTGGAGGTCACGTGACCGTACTTAGCTAAATATCGCTGAATATCGTCACACTCGCTCAACACCATGCCAAGCCTTCGTGATATCAACCGTGCGTGGCCAGGCGGCCCGCCGGGCCAGGCGTGCAGTCTAAATTAGTGCTAGCACTTGGTGGGCCAGCCGACAGCCAGCCTGGCCCAATGGGCCAGGCGGGCCAGGCGACTTTGCACTCTGATCACCACTAATCGGCCTGCCAGTCGTCGAAGGTAAGCACACAGGGGCAAACATCGCCAACACGCTGGCGGGCGTGCTAAAGCAGTATCAAATTGATCACACGAAGCTGGGTTACTTTATAATTAATAACGCGGCCAACAACAATACGGCAATGAAGGCTCTCGCTGCAGAGATAGATTTCAACGATCAACACGCCCGCCTACGCTGTACTGGGCACGTTGTAAACCTTGTAGCGAAGGCACTACTATTCGGCACCGACGCGGAGGCCTTCGAAGATATTTTAACCGCTAGAGAGCTGGATACTGCGGAAAATGATGTTTTAGAGGACTCTCAAGCCTCTGATACGCAGCAACACGTCGTTGCTTAGCGCAAGCAGGGGCCTGTCGGCAAGCTCCATAATATCATTGTTTATATTCGCAACAGTCCACAGAGACGCCTTACATTCGAAGCCATTCAGAGAGGACACTATCCTGCTGCAGCACCGAAGCGGCTTATACTAAACGGAGGCATTCGGTGGAACAGTACGTATGATATGATAACTCGTGCCTACGACCTTCGCTTGGCAATTGACGACTACTGTACTGGGCAGAGGGAGCTCTCTGAAGATATACTAACTACGGAGGATTAGTAAGAGTTAGCAGAGCTACGCCTGCTACTACAACCTATGAAGCGCACTACTAATCTACTGGAGGGCCGCCCAGTAGAGGGTAGAGAAGGCGCCCTGTAGGAAGTACTGTGCTATATAGAGACGCTGCTCAGGGGCCTCGAAGACGCTAAAGTCCAATACAGCCAGTAGGACGACGCAACACACTTACAAGCATCAGTCAACTTAGCTTGGAAAGTTTTAAACAAGTACTACAGCCTAACGGACGATTCGCCTGCCTACAGGGCTGCTGTAGTGCTCTACCCCAGTATAAAAATGTCCTTCTTCCAGCGTGTATAGGGCAACCGGCCTGACTGGGTTGATTCAGCACAAGATACTATTCAGGGGCTATAGAGGACGTACAAAACACCTCCGCCGGCAGTAGTAGTACCCAGGGCATCAGATTCGTAGGCAGTAGCGAATATAGAGGGACCCCGACGCGTATAGAGGGACACCCAGTAGAACGAGCAGATAGATAGATTCATCTTTAGGGACGCATTAACTGTAGAGGACGAGCTGGAGAGGTACCTCGCAGAGCCTCTTATAAAGGAGAAACAGCTGAACGTCCTTCAGTAGTGGATACAACACCAAAAACAGTATCCTCAACTCAGCAAAATAGCACTAGATATACTGGCTTGCCCGGCCATATCCTCCGACTGCGAGCGAACGTTCTCTACTACAGGTTAGGCCATAGGGATACGCCGTTCAAGGCTCCATAGGGACACAGCTGAAGCCATAGAGTGCCTCCGCAGCTGGCAGGTTGCCGGGTAGGTAGACGCAGAGACCTGGTTGAGAGAGAAGATAGATGAGGAACGCCTCATAGACGAATAAATAGTTCAACACCATGCCAAGACCTCCCCATGGCCCTAGGAGACGTCACTGAGCAGTAACCAACCCGATTTAGCTAAAAAAAAAACGATCAGTGAGTATCCCTAAGGTCACAACCAGCTCATACAGTGGAACTAACACGCCTGATTTAGCAGAGGAAACGGCTATTTACTTCCATCTGCGGAGCAGCGGAGGACCGCTTTATAACGTGTACTAAACGAGCGAACGAGCGCTGGCGGGTGCGCGCAGGCGAACGATCGCGAATATGCGGGTACCCGCCAGCGCGCGCGCGCGGGTACTAGTTGCTGCACACACTGAGCAGTCTTTGCGCGCTCTCCGCTGAGCCGCGAGAGGCCTGATTTACACCTAAAAGTGACCCTATAGGGCTGGCGGGTGAGCGCCGGGGGACGCGGGGCCGCATGTGGGCAAAATATCGAATTTTTTAGTCTCAATTCAGTTAACACTACGCCAAGCCCCTGTGATAGTGGCCCCTGTGTCAATCGGCCCAATCGGGCCAATCTAACTAATCTAGTCGGACGGCTAGCGCTAAAAAAGCCTCATCTATACGGGTCAATCCGCTAGTTTACATGGATTGGTTCATTCCGCACTCTGCACAGAAAGGAATCGGCTCTAGCAAGTTCTATAGCATTACAGCGGCCGAGCTAATTACTATTAACACCGGCATAGAACTAGCGGTAGAGCAAAACCTCGAAGACGATAACCTAAATCTAACGTCCTACACAATCTACAGCGATTCCAAGGCAGCCCTACAAGCACTAGCGAACCCACGCAAGCGGCGATCAGGCTAAGGAATAGTCCGATCCATTATAGAAACAGCCCGGTACATTAGAGACAACTATCAGATTAGTTTCTCTCTTCAATAGGTTCCCAGCCACAGTAGGATTAAAGGGAACGAAGAAGCAGATAAACTAGCCAAAGCTACGACTACACGCCTTAGAGAACACAGCTTTAAGCTACTAATATCACTTTAGTTCCAAGCAGTCAAGGACGCAATATATGCAACCTAGGCAGCCGAATAGGAGAAATCGGATAAAGGACAACACCTTCGAAGCATTAATACAGCACCGCCAGGCCCTCATACCCGGCACCTATACGATAAGCTCCCACGGAGCCAGGCTGGCCTCCTTGCCTAGCTGCGAACCGGCCACTACTAGCTCAACCAATACCGCACACGAATGGGTCGGATTAACAACGAATAATATAAATGCGAAGAAGTCGAATCAGTTTCCCACGTTCTCCTCAACTGCTCTCTGCTTTAGGAAAGCCGATAGAAGATGCTCTAAGATAGTGGACTAGAAAAGAACAGCCTATTAGCCTTACTCGGCGGAAAGCCACTAAGCAATACCGCAGCTACCTAGAGTAAAGACAACAATTAGAGAATAACAGCATTACAGCTTCAGGCTGTGCTCAACTTTGCACAAGACTTATAACGGTTTAAGAATAGAGACAATCCTACAGCATAGAACCTCTACACCACTATCCCCTCCTACCCTACTATCCGCTCCCGTTACCTTCCTTTTTCCTCCCAGATTGACAAATCACATGTAAACTAGTAGCAAAACTCTTGAATAGTCGTAGCCTGCATATCGCTCAGGGCGATGGGTCGGGGTAAATGAATACAACTCAACTCAACTCAAGCCCTAGATGTGTTGTTCTAGGCTGGGAGGTCTGCCTGAAGCGGAGATCGAATGGGGTCTGTGCGGTCTTGGCAGGGAAAACCGAAAATTTTTCCCACTGCTTGAGCCAGTAGTCGGTTTTTACCCTGTAGATAACGCGACGACCAAGGCCTGCGGCCTGGTGCAAGTTAACCTATAGGGTAAATAGGCTGTGCTGGTTTAGTTGGTAGTGGTTTTACGGCTTAGGAAGCGCTCCTGGGGCGATTCCTGTTGGGCCAAGGTGGTGTGAGACGAATATGGACTGGTAAAAAAAAAAATTTTAAAAAAAAAAAACCTTATATTTTATGAGGGCTTTTAATCAATATTAACAAAGGACTTTAGTAGATAATTAAGATCTTGCATACAAAGAAATAGCTATTATATAGTTTAGTAAGCTTTTTTCGTTGATTAAAACTATTGGATTTTATGCATCTGCAGCATGTATCAGCTCTCCGCCGGTCGCCAATTATCAGTACTCTCGCAAAGCAGGGTAAGACGGATGCGCTGGGCGACCCTCGGTGGCCCAAGCGCTACCATCAGCCCCAACCCGATGCATTATATACCGTAGTGAGCTGAAACCCCGCTCAGCCAAGACATTAAGCGCTGGTGGCGCCTCGTATCCGTTCTTTTCGTTGTAGAGGCTGCGCCATAATACCTCTACAACTACATAAACCGTTTGCGCCATCTTTCGTTCCCATCTCCTGCATTGCAACCGTGTAGCAGGAGCGTGTTGGGCATCCTGCCGGTCAGTGGGAGCGACATCAAGCTATCTTCTTTCTCATCCGATACCCTTCAAGAACACAGCCTTTAGTGGTCAACGCACAGCCTTTACCCGCTATTATTCGTAGCTCGTTGCTTCCAGATCCCTCGAACACAGAGGCACCGTTCTATCGCCTTCTAAACCGTTGATACCGAAGCTTGCCACCTGACAGTCGTGCTATGGGGTGTTTCGAATGTATCAAAGCCAAATGGGGCAGAAAAAAGCCGCCCGCACATCCCACACCACTATGTCCCAGCGACGCGAACACGGCGAATCCCGCGGTAGTCGAAGTATCATCGACGTCTCCCAGCAAAGCAAGCACAATAAACGCGGTGATGGTCTCGTCGGTTAAAGCCTCTTCTACCCCACATACATTGGTTGCACCTACTCATACAGCTTCTTCGTCCAACTTACGAGAGCGACTATGGAATAAGGGGTACGATCAGGCAAGAAATGAAGACCCCGAGACCGTTAATGGTTACGAGATGATTCTGTCCGCTCAACTCCACCAAGAAGACCCCGACTTTTTGAATCCTTCACACACCGATCTTACGGACAATATGACGCCGGAGAACAAGATTGAACACGATACAGAGAAACGTAAAGAGCAGATGCGTCAGCTTGTTCAAAATGGCTTGCAGAAAATAAAGAAGGAGGCCAACATGAAACAAGGCATAGAAAGTGGCATTCAGGTCGCTATGGTTTTCAAGGAAGTCGTAGACAAGGCGGTTCAAGCGTCTAGTGAGGCGGCTCTCGCCTGGGTCGGGGTGTGCATTGGGCTCTAGGTTAGTACCGCTATCATTGGAACAGGAACCTAACGCTGATGTTCTATGTTAAGATCCTAACGAACCCACTCACCGAGGCGAATTCTAACCAGCAAGGAATCGAATATGTCGTGCGGAGGATGAACTGGTACTGGGAGCTGTCGAGACTACTGCTAGACACGAACATCAAGCCGGACCAGCAAGGCTTGCGGGGCGTGCTTGAGGAGAAAGTCACTCAGCTCTATGCACAGCTGTTATTGTTCCAGATGAAGAGCGTATGCTACTACTACCGCAGACGCTTTCGGGTGTTCGTACGGGATCTAGTCAAGCTCGACAACTGGGACGGCAAGCTGGACAACATAAAAGATGCAGAAGCAGCCGTGCGACAAGACTCCTCTCAGTACAACACGCAAGTAATCCTAGATCATCTTAGTGATATTCTTAAGATTGGGGAGTCGCAGATCTCAGCTATTCAACAACAGACCAAGCAACAGGAGGCAATGCACGAGACCGATGAGGATAAAAAGTGTCGAAAAGACCTGCGCGTCACTGACCCTCGAGATGACAAGAAACGCATCGAAGGTCTCAAAGGTGGCCTGCTCAAGGACTCGTACAAATGGATCCTTGAAAACTCCCAGTTCAAAAAATGGCGCAATGAGGATGACCCGCAGAGTCGGCTGCTGTGGGTCAAGGCCGATCCTGGTAAGGGTAAAACAATGCTGCTATGTGGGATCATCGACGAGCTGCAGGAGCCGAATATACCTAATCTTTTGGCATACTTCTTCTGCCAGGCTACAGACTCACGTATCAACAGCGCCACGGCTGTTCTGCGAGGTTTGTTGTACTTGCTGGTCGAGCAGCAACGATCACTGATCTCGCATGTTCGGAAGAAGTACGACCGTGCTGGCCAAGCACTATTCAATGATACCAACGCATGGGTTGCCTTGTCGGAGATTTTTACAAACATTCTGAACGACGCAAATCTTGAAAAAACGTGCTTGATCATCGACGCGCTCGATGAGTGCACCACAGGCTTAGACGAATTACTAGACTTCATTGCTCAGAAGTCGTTAGTGTCTCCACACGTCAAGTGGATCGTCTCGAGCCGCAATTGGTCGACTATTGAGGAACGGCTAGATCAGGCCGATCATAAGGTGAGGTTAAGCCTTGAGCTCAACGAAGAGTCGGTCTCGAAGGCCGTCAGCACCTTCATCGAACACAAAGTGTCTAGGCTAGAGCAGCAGAAGAAGTACAACGAAACAATTCGAGATGCCGTGCTGAAGCATCTAACGTCGAATGCGAACAATACCTTCCTCTGGGTAGCATTAGTATGCCAGCGCCTTGAAAAGGTCGACTTTCAAGTCAAGGAGGAATTGAAGGCATTTCCACCTGGGCTTGACTCTCTATACGAGCGGATGATGCTGCAGATACATGAATCCCAGGCTCCCGATGTCTGCAAGCGGATACTCGCTTCAGTCGCGATCGTATACCGACCAATCACGACAAAAGAGTTGGCTACTCTCGTAGAGAAGCTCGAGGACATGGCCGATGATCACGAGTCAATGGAAAGGATCATCAGCCTCTGTGGTTCATTCCTTACCGTGAAAGAGGGTGTTGTCTATTTTGTGCATCAGTCAGCAAAAGATTTTCTATTCTCAAACGCATCCGATGAGGTATTCCCGTCCGGGGAGAAAGACGTCCATTACTCGATTTTTTCCAGGTCCCTCAATACCATGTCCAAAGCATTACGCCGAGACATGTACGATCTGAAAGAGTTAGGGTATCCTGCGGAGCAGATCAGACAGCCCAATCCAGACCCGTTAGCAGCGTCGCGCTACGCGTGTTTTTACTAGATCGATCACCTCATCGATTCTGACGTCAACGTTTTATCTGAACATGCAACAACTCTCCAGGACGAAGGCTCTATTGATATATTTCTAACGCAGAAGTATCTCTACTGGCTGGAAAGTCTTAGCCTTTTCAAGGACATGTCCAAGGGAATTGATTCTATAACGAAGCTGGAAAAGCTGGTCCAGGTATCTTCCAAACAGATCATGCACTTACATATATAAGAAGCTAATACGCATTAGAAAACGTCAAATTCAGTTAAGCTTAGTAAGCTTATCCAAGACGCTCGGCGGTTTATCATATATCACAAGGGAGTAATTAAGCAAAGTCCGCTTCAGGCATATGCGTCTGCACTCCTGTTCAGCCCAGAAGGTAGCATAATCAGACGCCTTTTCAAGGAAGAAGAGCCGAGGTGGGCAACAATAAAACCGGCCGTTGGCAATGTATGGAGTGCTTGCCTGCAGACGCTCGAGGGCTATAGCGGCTCTGTTAGGTCAGTAACCTTCTCTCCCGACTCGACCCGGCTGGCGTCGGCGTCGGGTGACAAGACCGTCAAGATCTGGGATCCGACCAGCGGCAACTGCCTGCAGACGCTCGAGGGCCATAGCAGCTCGGTTAACTCAGTAACCTTCTCTCCCGACTCGACCCGGCTGGCGTCGGCGTC